AATGACAATTCCTAGACTCAAATGTATAAACAGGAACCACTTCTATGTTTTGGTGGTGTGGATGTCATTTTGTTTCTCTAATATTTTAACCCACTTGTCTCACTCTGTAGTTATCTCTGCACTAGAATAAGGTAAGAAATGCAAAGACTTGCTTTAATGCAGGGGAGAATCATAAGTAATAATGTTTAAAAAAAACAACTAAAGGTGCACATTTGAATTTCAGTATTATGCAGACAGATTAGAGTTCATAGAGAGTCCTGATTGAATCCAAATGATATTGGAAAGAAAGTCCTAACATGCTTTTTTCCTTCTTTTCAAAAGGGCAAAATTTTTAGGGTCTCTTGTGACAGCAGAAGCTTGTATGGGTCAGATAAGTGGGTTTGGGATATAAAGGGAGTTAGTATACATCGTATAGTAATGCATTGGACAATTTTAATGTGTGGATTTTATCATATTTACTAACCTAATATATATATGTAGTATCTTAAAGGTTAAGTGGCATACTCTTGGCTGGGTGTAGTTTAGGATTGGTGGAAAGAAATACATGGTTTGTGAACTGATGCAAATAATTTCAGTGTACCGTTTTATTGGAGGGGAGGTCAGTCTGTGAGATGCCTCAGACCAGCAAAACATGCACCGCAACTAACACTCTTGGTTCACAAACACGGTCAGTTTCTTCACCAATTGAACTCTAATTTCTAAGTGCATCCACAAGATTTTGAGCCACGGATGAACCCCACCTACCTCATCCATAAAGCCACCTTTGGTGTCCCTTCAGCTTGGCCAAGGTCATGGGCACCGTTAGAAATAGCCCGGTCTCAAACAGTGAATTAAAATACACGTGCATAAACCAACCTCGGTAAGAGAAACCAGAATTCAAACTCTCACTTTACTGGAGAGAGGAACAGCACTCCCTGGGAGGGCGCTCCCTGGGACGACATTCCCTGGGAGGTCTCTCCCTAGGGGCTGTTCCCATCAGGCCAATGTGACACTTCCTGGCAGTAAATCTGTATTTCGATTCTGGTTTGCATTTACCGAAAGAAATATATCATTCAATGACCTAAATGCAACATTTATTTAAGATAATTGCTGTCTAGATGAGGGGTGTATTGTTGAATTTAGGCTTTTGTTTATACTTTACTTCAGGTGAACTTTTTTTTTTGGTAGATATTGTCTTTCTTTTTGTTTATAGATATCAATATGGCTTACTTAATCCATGTTCCAATTACATAATTATGATAAATTTTCTGTTCATATTTAAATTCTCTGTATTTTCAAAATAGGAACAAATTTAACATTCCACAAAGGGAGGAATAAATATATTTGCTTTCTCAGTCTCTTTAAGTACTGTGTGCACTATTTCTGTTATGTATCATTATTTAATGTATGTCATAGTAAGACTGTGTATCATTGCTTGTATTAAGTAATTACTGAATGTATGATGTGGCTTTAGCAATATGTATTGTCCTCTGTGGATGTTGTACAGTGGTTGTAAGGAGTATTGAGGATAGTGTGCAAATATAACCTTCTAGTCCATTATTGAATCTGTTTTATTTTCACCTGGAAACTAGACAACAGTGTATATATTTGTGTGTGTATCTATGTATGTATGTGTGCATGTGTTTGTGTCCTTGTGTGGGTGCTAAGTCACATGATGGGAAACAAAGTGAAGTAATTTGGGGAATGCTTTTACCACCTAGAAATATTTGGCTGATCAACAGTCAACTGAAAATTAAGCATGACTCGGATAATTATGACTTGTGGTTCCCATGGAGTAGGCTGATCAAGCTAAACAGTTATGGGGAGATTAGGCTTTGTGGTTGTATGAATAATATTTTTATATAATCATCAGTTGATTGGTGTTTCTCCCATTAGTTCTCCTGTTTCGAGGAAGAGCATTAGATCAGTCTACTGTAATTTCTTTTGATTTGTGTCTTATGTTCACTTATTCTTTATCGACAATAAATTTTGTGTTCTTATTTCATGTTTAGTGTTTGTTCCTTTATATTTAATTGGAGGGATAATCCCTGAGAATGAAGATTGAATCTCAGAAGAATTGATTAAAGTTTATTTTGAAGGAATCTCCATTATATGTCTATTTACATTTAACATATTTAAAAATGAACTTGGAAGTTTTAATAACACTTAATTTCACTACGTGGAAAGGACCACAGCAGCCAGTCCTTATGCCTTATATAAGTGTAAGATTATGTCTAATACCTTTGCTCTCACCTGCAACATAAACACACCTACATAAAGTTAACTGTGCCTTTACATGCCATCACACTTTTTCACATCATTATCATTCACAAGCTAATGCTTCCCTAATCCACACTCATCCCCTAGGGTAACTCAATGGGCGGTGGCAGCGTACACACAACTTGTCACACTTTACGAGGATAAGCATGAAGGTCAAGGGTCAAGAGCCAAGAGTCAGGAAGGCATACCAATTTGTTTTTTAACTAAAATAAAAAGATTGACATTGATTTTGAATTGTTTGCCCTTGATAATACAATAATTTTACTAATCACAAATTTCGTCAGGAGAACTCAGGCCACCCCAGATACCTACACTATATATTTAAAAAGGATAAGGAATTTAATTGCTGTGACCACTCCTCTATTCACCATCCACTCCAGGTGAAACCGGTGTCCACACATATGTAAACGGGTTTCCCAATTTATACATGTACAGTAGTGATACTGCAGACAAAATATTAATGGTACACTGTTCAACAGTACATAATTTAGCCTGTATATGCGGGTGTCCTGTGATCACTGGGAAGAATGTGAAGTATCTTAAATTAATTATTTAAGTTTACGGAATAAACATACGCACATATTTACCTTATCTATGAGGAAAATAATAGATGAAACTATTACAAGATAGCAAACAAGACCTTATACAAATAACTGTCAAGAACTTACTAATCATCAGAACAAGGTCATAAACTATTGAAAACGCCGTTTTTGAAACCTTTGAAACTCGTAGCCAAAATTGAATTTAGTACAATGATATAACATAGTACATTATTTACATATGTACAATATTCGCTATAAATTAAGCTAACCCTTTTTAAGCATAATTTTTTAGCTAGTAGTCCCAACAATGCTTACTGGCTAGCGTTGTTATATGCCCCTTAAGGTCTAGCACATATATTTGTTCCATCCATCAATAATTAACTATGGTTACCGTTGTCTCGACTTTGGAAATCAGAAGGATAAATTACTGTGAATAGAAACGTGGAAATATTACCACGAAAATGGAACTGAGAGAAACATAAAGACGAACAGGAGCGTAGTGGCAAGGGAACCAGATTATCCGTTAGTTTACGCTTGTTGTGAATGAAAGAAGCGGGTGCAGACGATAGGCCAACCGACGCGAAACAAGACGATGCTGGTGAGTCTGATTGACAAATTCCTTTCCATTTGTGACGTGCCGTCTCCGTGGAATTCTGAATATGTTGCAGCTGACTCAGTGTGGGTGGTGTAGCTGTGGGTGTTGGTTTTGCCTGTCGAAGTAAATGCTACAGTACAGTATATATCGGTATATTAATATTGATATCAATGTATAAATAAAGATATACCCCTTTCAAAATGTTCAAAAATATTCAAAATGTTTCAATATGTTCAAAATTACGGTATTTTGGGGACATCCCTATAAAGGTATCTACAAAATGAAAATCAATCATATATATATATATATATATATATATATATATA